TCCATGCTTTGTGGGAATCATTTTCTTATTGAGAATTATGATCACATCACTACACATAAAGAAAATTCATTGGCACCAGTCCATGTTTTGGAATTACCTGAAGAAAACAACCCTCAAATCTGGAACTCTCTGTATATTAACAGAGAGCTCCTAGTTTTCTAAAAATGATGGGGCAGCAAATGTTGGCAACTTTTCTATGTCACTAGGGTCCAAATTAGTCAGCAAAAGGTGTTCTTCTGAAAATGCCTTGATAGGAAACCCGTCCTGAGAAATTTATGGAGTCTGCCATTGCTGACTATTCACTCTCAAAATACGAGTTTCCTGGCTCTCATGCTGATCTAATGGCTGCAATATTTACTGAATTACTAATCTGGAACAAGTATGCAAATAAGGACTTCAGGCTTCCCTGGCTGCAGTTACCCTAAAAGTACTGAAGAGGATTGGCATGACTTTCAGCCACTTAGCATTTTCAGAACAATGTTAGCAATAATCAGCTGATCGCTCCTACATCACTGGAAGCATAGCAACCAATCAGCTAATATATATCCCTTTTGACTGTCCATTTGGTTGTAAACTTCCAGTGCAAAGGTTGGCTGTCAATGTAGGTTAGTGACAGAGCGCTGACGGGGTTTCACAAGTCTGAATCACAATGAGGTTGCACGAATGGACCTTTTACTCTCAGTCTTATGTCCCCCAAATTGGTGTCTACATTGTACCCACCTTACAAGCTGGACATCTGTTTTTTGGATTTTTTTTTTACTATAATGGATTTTTATTAACTTGCATCCTATTGTTTCTCTGGCTGGTCTAGAGAAGAGCTGTGGGATAATATATATCAGAAAAAGCAGGTTCGCCATAAAGAATAATCGTTCGGGTGAGCCTGAAGAATTAAGTTTTACCACAAGTAGGAGTTGGACTCTGTGGAAGCAGATTCGTCTTGATGGAACTACCACTACCATTGATATACCTTTTATGCTGTGAAGTTTAAGGGAATCTAATGAATATAAGAAACATAGACTGGTTATCATTTGGTTACTGTGTTATTGATCCATTACATCTAGGTGGCTATTAAGCACACAGGTGCATTCTGCAAGAAATCCTTAAATTATATTCTTCAGATAAGACGTGAGCTATCTCCCCATTCATGGACTTTTCTTAATGTTCATGCACCTGTTTTTATGTAGTGAACAGCTTCTATAGAGCAGCTTGGAGTTAAATATCCCTTTATGAAAGCAAACGATCTGTTCTCTGCCAGCAGAATGACGCACCTTTGCAAGTTGTACAGCAAATTGTTTTGTTACTAGAAAGCTGATGCAAACATCACCAGCCCATTTGACCAGGTGGTTCTTCCCTTCACCAAATAAGCACAGCAGTATGCAATGATGCAATGAAATCATATGCAAACAATCATTACGGCACGGTGCCTTAGTCAATGAATGAGTCAGTGCAGAGAGAAATGATATGGTACTGCAGAGAGAAATGATATGGACTGATTGCTGCACTTCGTACATCACAGTGGTTCTTTACATAAACATACTGTGTGACAAATCTGCAGCATAACTAGTCCGGCTTAGTTACATAGATTTGGGGTTTGTGTACATGAGCATTTGAGGTCTGTAAACCAGGTAGGCTAGCCCTTAAAGGATAAGTGCCCTTTAAAACAACGTGCGCTTATCCTTCAGACCCCTTTAAGGTGACATCACCACTCCCGACTCCTGCACAGATGAATACTTACCGAGTTTCTACAGGCTTGGCCTCTGCTGTTTGTTTACATTCTGTGGTGGATGTCTCCTTCTCCTGGCCGTGCTTGCCCATTTACTTCTACAGGGCTCATCTACTTCCGTCTCCGAGCCCCATGGAAGTCAAAAGATATGTATTGCTCAGGTGTGGTCAAGAGAAGGAGACATCCACCACAGAATGTAAACAATCAATGGAGGCAGGGCCTGTTGGAACTGAGTAAGTATTCATCTGTGTAGGGAGAGAGAGGGAGTAGTATGTCTTTATGGACCTGTTTTCAGGTCCATAAAGACATAGGGCCAGATAACCTAAGATTGTTGCTTGTTGAGGAATGCGAATTAGCGCACCTGACATCTTATTTTGGCAGATTGCATGTCTAATATACTATGTCACAGCGAATATAGTGTATAAGGCTCATGGTGGAATGAGTAACTGTCTTGCGCCATCATCCTCTTGGTGCTCACCTGCATACCTCTATTGTGCCAGATATTGACAGACTAATTCTCTAAACTGTAATTTATTTGGCGCAGATTGTGTCATATTTAGGATTTTTTATAATTGGTGCGCTAGTTGCATCTTTTTTATTTTTTCAAAACCCTTCAAATTGAACTGTTTGTGAATTTAAAAAGTAGGTTTTTGTGTACCAAATATATGGTGCACCAACAATAGTTTATCTGGCCCATAGTTTGAAGAGTTTGGTAGGGAGGAACTCAAGTGGGCTGCACAGACCTCTAATCTCAATTCTACTAAACACCTTTGAGATGAATTGGAATGCGTTTTGCAAGCCAGGTCTTCTCATCCAACCTTACACATACTCTTTGGCTGAATGGGCACAAATCCCACAGATACACTCCATAATCTTGTAGAAAGCCTTCTCAGAAGCATGGAGGCTGTTATAGCTTTAAAGGATGGGCCAGCACCATATTAATTGCTTTGAAATGGGATGCCCATCAAGCAGGGAAGAGGGAGATTTTATATGCATTTCAAATCATTTAAATAAAAAATAAAGTACATCTAAACCCTAACCGGTCGACATTTAGTTTTCTAAAGAACTGTATATTATAAACAATTGCTGCGGTTTTTATATCTTTTTTTATTTTGATTTTTTTGATAAATGCACTATATGGCCAAATGCATGTGGACATAAACCTAGACAATTGTGTGCTTCCAACTTTTTGCCAACAGTTTGGGGTCCTTTTCTACTCCAACATGACTGTGCCCCTGTGTACAAAACCAGGTCCGTAAAGATGTGGTCTAATGAGTTCGGTGTGCGGGAATTTGAGTGACCTGTACAGAGCCCTGACCTCAACCCTACTGAACCTCTTTGGGATGAACTTGGAAAAGGGATTACAAACCAAGTCATTGTTCAATATCAGTACCTCACCTTACTAATGCTTTTTTTTGCTGAATGGGCACAAATTCTCACAAACACAATCCAAAATCTGATTGAAAGCCTTCCCAGAGGATTGGAGGTTATTATAGCCACAAAGCGGGTCAACTCCATATTAACAGTTTTGGACTGGGATATCCAACAAGTTTAACTAGGTGTGATGGCCAGGTGTCCACAAATGTTTGGCCTTATAGTGTACATATAGCTATATTTGATAAGAAAGTGAAAAGTACAATATTGATGCATCAAGGGTTACAATCCATAGGCCAATCAGATTGTATGCCTTACATCTTTTCTCATCTTTAGGTAAGCCTTTCAGATAAAGGAAGAGGTGCGAAGGCTTAGGGCATACATTATTAAAAATACCCATGTTAATGACCAGGGATGGAACCATGGTAGGTGACACTTACCTTAGGCAGATGCCTGCTCTGCCTAGAGATATTCCTGTCTTTAAATAGGACCACATTGAAACCAAATAAATAACACTGAAAGTCTAGCCACACATGCAAGTTTTCATTAAGCTTTTATTTCAAATTCCAATAAGACCAGAGGTTCCCAACTACAGTAACTGGGCCAAATATTCATTCATTGCAGCCTGAAAATATTTAGTAATGCTGGGCTTTTCATACAAGTTTGAATCCATGAAAGACAAATATCTACAGAGCAGCTTATAAATGATTATATCTATATGCAGCGCAACATATCAAGCGGAAACGCCTGACCCTACCAACATGCTGCATAGGAGGACCCTTTGTCTGGATGTAGTGGTCTCTATGCAGAGGTCCGACATGCCCCCTGCTGTGCCAGACCTATAGATCCGCAATCAGCAAATCTCAGGCTCCCTGCTGAATGTTCTAACTTTGACTCAGCAGAAGGCTTGTTGGACTTCTGTAGAGAAACTGCTGCTTCCCCACAGAGACCAAGGATCCTTCTGTGCAGCATTCTGGTAGGGGACAGACTTTTCAACAGGCTGTTGCTGCTTTCCAAAGAAAACAAACTACAACTTTTTGTTTCAATGCACCTGGAATATATTTAGCCAATTTAAGTTAAAAGTTTAATATAAACCCACGCTAGAGCCTAAGCTATTACAATCACTGTGAGAAGAATCACAAGACACACACTATTGATCCCCAGTTGATGGAATGTGAACAGTGTTTCTACAGCACTTAACAGACAAAAAGTATGTAGGTCACTATCACTGACCTTCTAATAATGCTAGATTTTGGTTGCCATGCTAATCCTGTGGCTTCTACACTTTTCAAGCTGTTGATTCTGAAGAGATATATAGATTGTGAGTTCTTACTTCACTGGTAGTGTACTTGCACCATGTCACTAGCACAGAAAATACTAGCAGAGACACCAACTACCAGTTTTAGGAGATCGGCATTGGTAGCTGATGACAGGTGCCCTTTACTGCTGGAAATACTGATCTGTTCAGATTGTATCTGCCGCTGCTGCTTTTGCAGTGCAGACCACAATCTCAGTGGAACAATTATAATGCATTCATACAACAGTTTAGTGTTGAAGCTGCATAATAGTCTATATCAAAGCCTTATTTCCTATGTGCAAAGAGCAGTAACCAATAAGAATTCTCTTTCTTTCGACAAATTACACTGTACTTTTGCAAGACAATGTCTGTTGGTTCTTATGGTTTGGTGTTTATTAAGTGTGATAGAATTCAACTGAGCATCATCATGTATCAGAGTCATCATGGTAAGCATTTGGCATATGATCAGCAATGAGTGACTGTTGATGAAGAGTCCATTATAGCTGACTGCTCTTTGCAACATGCTATAATATAAAGCCCATGGACTAAATACCCAATTTTGTTTCCTTTCCGATCTGTGGATTAATACAATAGCTATGTCTACTAAGCAAGCTATATGCCCTAATTTCTACAAGTCAGGAGGAGTCTGTGTTTTCACTAGCAGAAAGGCCTGGGTCCTCGGCACACTCCAAGGGCTGTGAAGTTTCGGAAATATACGTTATAATCCTCCAGCTCCTTCCGGAAACAATTTGCAGCCTTTTCGTCACACTCACAGACCAGCTTCTCGCAGCGATCACGAGCTTTCACTGGGGACAAAAATATAGAAACATAAAAACATGCTGACCATAGTATGGTGGAAAGGTTTACAGAAGACTGAACTTGTGAACAGTGATCAGTTATCATGGTGTGCTATTGAAGCAGTCCCACCGAACCCCGGGCAAAAGGCTAATTACACAGCTCATACGCTTGGGAAGTTGTTCCCAAAAAATAATACAGGTAGATGGCAAAGGACTAGTCAACAGTATTGTGCTGTGATCTCTCTGCAGCTCATCTTTGCCTATTGCTGACTTACCATGTCTTTTACTGCACTGTGTCTCTGTGTGGATGCAGCCATCTTGGTAGAGCCAGGGTTTTGCTTCCTCATGTTAGAGCCTCCAGCAAGGAGAACAGTGAGCACCCCAGTAGTGACATCACCAAATCTCTCTGCACATCTGCTAAAAGTTGGCCATACAGTACACCTAACGCAGGCTGAAAACTTGATTCCAGACTATTGTATTCTAACTGCTGGCACCCACAACTGTCAGAATACTCGAACAGTGGCTGTAGCTGATTGTCCTCGAACAGTGTATGGAAAGCCTAGGACTAGCAGTCAAAGGCAGCATTGCCTGAGATCACACACTGCAGATATGACAGCTATGAGGCTTTAGACACATTCACATGGTGGGGAGTGTTCTGCTTTTTTCAGGAGGAATTTCAGAAAAACAGTACATTTGTTTAGGGCACTGCTTAGGCACAGTTAACAATTTCAGAAGCTACCTCTAAAATAGCAAATACTCTACTTTAAGCAATGTGACCTGGTCCAGGACCTATTCCAGCATTCTACCAGCATTCCGATTGTCCGTGGTTAAAAGGCTGAAGAAATCTTCAGGCAGCTAAGCCGTTTCTGACTTCTGACCATTTCAATTCAATATGAATATATAAACTCTATGTACATTATTGTTGCTGCGATTGAATGCTGATTGAAATTGCTAGAGTATGACCAGCACTATAAAGCAGCGTTTCTCAACCTTTATTTCGGTCATGGCTCCCTTTAAGAGTATGCAAAATCTTAAGGCACCCCAGTCTAAAATGTGAAAAATGTAAAATCCATATCAGACCTTTATCCAAAATAGGGGTCTGATATGGATTTTAAGGCAGTACCTAATGCAACACCAGGATTTACTGCTGCAGCAGCATGGCAGAGGGCAGGGGGCAAAGCAGGTCTGGACAGAGGTGATCTTCCATCCTTTTTTGAATGGATCCCACCCTCCCTGGATTAGCATCAATCCTTTTCAAAATGCTGGTGCCTGGGTTGCCTGTACCATGGTAAGGCATGATGCTGTATGAAAATTCTGAGGCACCCCTAAATAAATCAGAAGGCACCCCACTGTGTCCCAGCACCCTAGTTGAGAAGGGCTGCTATAGAGTGATGCCCTTGCATCTGTCTGGACACTTACTGCATTTAACCTTCTGCTGTTCTTCGGTATAGAAGAGATATGTCTGCGTCAGAGGGTTGCATCCTCTCATTTCAGCCTCGTTGTGGCAGCAGGCCTGTTCATGGCAGCACCTGGAAAGTACAAGTTTAATACACAAGTGAGGAAAGTAATCTCTGCTCATGTCTACATTGAGCTAATACATGCCAGGAAGAATCATTGTAATTGTCTATCAGAACAGATCAGTGTGCCGAAATGCCCACTTACCAAAACACTGTGACATCTACTGCACACAGGATATGTTACTGACACCACTGTAATAACTGACAATGAACTTGCAGAAGTTTATTGACTTGGATCAAAGTAACCACCGCTCCAAGCTTACTCCCGGAATGGACTACAATCTTAATACAAATTAGCTAACTAAACATGAGATTGTAGTCCACCACAGGAGCACGCTTGGAATGAAAGCTACTTTACAACACTCACAGGTACCATGGGGAACAAAAGTAGCCCCCCTCCAGAAGGAAGGACAGAGTCGGCATGAATTCAGAGATGATTTGAGGATCTACAGCCGCGTGATACACAAATAAGATACATTTTTGTTAAGCATTAGGGTACTGGAAAGCAATTTAACCCCTGAGTTTAGTGTCACTTTAATCAACTGGCTACTTTTTCATTGTTTTAAGCCATCAGTAAAGTCTCTGCCCTTGGGTTCCTGTGTCTGCGCACCAGCTGTGGTCATTGAGTGGAAGTTGCATCCTCCCTCTTGGAATGTTATTTTTATATATATAAAAAAAAATATAACGTGGAGATGGAACACAGAAAGGTGGAAAGAACCACTTAGAACATCAGGGTGGACTGGAACAAAGTCAGGAATTACAGTAGGAGATCTCTTTGCTAGTGTATCAAAGACATGTAGGAAAACAAAGAATGACCCAGCTAACCTGGTTCTGTCTTTAAATAAAATATCTTGTTTGGTGGACTGACCCTTTAGGAATGATCTAACTCAGTTAACAATGAATACAGATTACAACGATCTGTACAAATCTTATGGGGGGCATAATTTAAAAAAACTGGGTGGAAAAAACAAAAATTTTCCAAAAGAATGTAAAACTTGCCCATAACCACCAATTAGGTTTCATTTTTTACTTACTGATCAAATTAAACAAGGAATATGGTTGGCCAATTTGTGACCTCATTTTCTGGACATTTTTCTGTTGTCCAGTTTTCACAAATATGCCACATAACAGATTGATTGATCCAGAAATATAAGAGAATTACCAGTCAATGGCATCCACGGGTCTTCCTCCAGTGTTGGCTCCACAGTGGCAGCCATAATCAGTGAAGTTAGCTAGGCCATAAATGATGGTGGTCACTTTAATCATTTCATCGAATTGTGCTGGGGTGCTAGTGACTAAGGCAATGACTGCAAAATAAAGAGAGATTTACAATAGAAAACCATACATGCACATACATAGGCTGACACAGGTGTCCCCCATGTCCTCCAGAATGTCCTATCAGGCAGAAGGCCGTGAACGCCTCCATTTTTTACTGTAGCAGGCAAGTGCCCTCTAAATTCTTCCTGGAATGGTTGGCAACTATGGAACATGATCATTTACTGGACCTTAGACCACTGCACCTCAGGGGAAGAGAGGCTCCAGGGACCAGTCTGGCTCAGAGGCTCTGAGGATCAGGTGAGTATAACTTTTTTTTTTAACCTAGACTAAAACAAATAGTCAACCCTTGCAGTGCGGGGGTAGCCCCACTGTAAGGGTTAATAAGGTTCTACAATTATACCAAAATTAGAAAAACAAATTCATTGCAACCACTATTTACAAATGAATGCATACTGCACTATAAATAAAATAGATGAACATATTTAAATACTTGGCTATCCTACCACTGGCCCTCCTTCCTCCTACAAGGGTGGCAACGCTATTTCTGCTGCAGTTATTTTACAAGAGTGCTGTCACCTCGTATAGTGGCATTGTGACATACACTGAGGGGAGGGCTATTGGCATTATCCCTGCTGACAACCCTTCCTTTCCATGCCAATCAGAGAAGGACATGTGTCCACAAAAGATAGAAGGTCACTTCTTCCAGACACAGTACATCCTCTGGGTTCCCACCTCTCAACTTGAGCAGACCTTAGAAGAGCCGTTACAGGAGAGACATGGACAAATAAAAAAAAGTTGCCCACACAGTGAATTTTACCTCTCCCTTAACACTAAATTGGTCTGTAAAGAACCACACTCAACTGGCATAGCAGGTGAAGTATTGGTGGAAAACCCTTCTGGTAGGGACTTCGCAGGATGCTGGAATCTAATAAACTGGTGAAATATGTTTAGTAGCTTTTAACTAATTATCAAAAACAGAATATGAAGAACCAAACTGACCTCTCCCTATGTAGCATGTGAGAAGAAAAACTTTTGGTGCAACAGATAAAATAAGAAAATTGCATGGATTCTTACTGCATGTCACTGCCAGTCCCAGAACAAGACACCTGGTCATCTTGGGTTCTCTTTGTTGGTCTCAGGAACTGATACACTGCAGCTTGTGTGTCCCTTATATATACCGATCACCAGTATATCCCTCCTTTCAATCATTGTAATGACACCCTGCAGCTTCACTGAAAATTAGTAGGTAAAGACAGAAAAACACTGTGTTTGTTAATATTGCTGCCTGCGAATTCAGGGACATCAGCGGTGAAACTGCGTAATAAGTCTGTAATAACACAGGACACATCTACGGAAATTAAATTGTCTGATGCCCCAAAGCGGAAGCAAGAAGTATTAAGGAGGAACTCTGGGTAAGAAGTAAAGTCAATTAATGAAAATTGGTTTATCATAATGGCTGCACATGACATGAATATCCATCTTCTTTACTGACATCTTCTGCAGAGAACACAACATATGTGTCAGGACAGGGGGATGGAAGTATGGTAACAGGAGAAAAAAAAATGGGTCTTCAAGCTTCAAAGGGTTAGAAACATACTGAAATTGGCATCAGAAGAGGAAGACTCATATGCTCTCCATATATAGAAGTATCAGGTGTTGAATGGGGAGGCTGGGGAGTGCAGAAGGCATCAGCAGTGAAGGGGTTTTGCTTTCCACAAATGGCCCATTCTGATGATATCTGCATTTTGGTGCATTTTGTCTGATTGATGTGTTCTTCATTGCAATCAATAAAAATGACTCAAAAGACATATCAACGCACAATGCCATGCACTTCAATTTGGGCTGCAATGCACTTAAGTATGTGGGAGTATTTTGAGTAGTTTAGCGAAAGACACTGGGCAGAACTGACACCACTCCGAGCACAGAAGTGCTATTAGCCCCCAAGAAGACGTAAGACCTAAGTGCATTTCTCTTAGATCAACAGGTATTTTTCTGTACTTTCGGGGTCTTTAAAGGAATAAAAAACATGTAAATATGCATGTATTGCAAATATGTACTGCATATGTTTTTTGAGGGTTTTTTTTTGCCCTGACATACATTTTAAGGGTACTGCCTTCATGACTATAAATCATTGCAGACATGTCTATAGAGAAACATAAATGAGTATGTATAACCTTTTATGGGTTCTTCCATGCTTAAAAAGACATTCAACTTGTAGAGATACTAAAACAAGAATAGGTCGGCTGACCTCGTGAAGATGGTACTGTCCATATCCTATATTCTACTTCCACAAATAATATCTGAATTTAGCACTATGATTTACCAACATTGATGCCTTCCATGCCTGAAAATCTCTGCATTTTAGGTCTGACTGATGCAGTACTTTCCATGCCCCAGATCTACACTTCAATCACTAGATTTCTCTTATTCCATGGAAACTTATTTCTCAAATATGAATATCCTCCAACGCACCAACATTTTAATTGTGGAGACAAATAGTCAATGTTAACATACATAACATACTAGAGTAGAGGTTGTCCGGTGAAATGTATGAAGTGTTGGGAAAATTAGTTGACACCTGCAGGCTGTGGGATCTAATTTCATGGCATTGTGGTTAATCTTTAGCTATAGAGAGATTTCCCTGTAAAGGAGGTAGTGTGTTGGTTAAACATTTGAAGGTATTTACACAGAATAATGTCACTTACAGAACATTTTTATTGTCATTTGGGTACTATGATCATTAGGGTTGCACAGATACCAAGTACAGTACTCGGTACAAGTACGAGTACATGTACCGATACTTTTGAGCTCCAAGACTAGACTAGAAAAAAATGCAAAAATTAGGACGCAGCTGTCATTTGTAAGGAGCACACGGAGCTCCTGGGATTTGTACATCTCTGTTTTAATGTACGATTTTGTTTTTATAAATGTAAATAAAGGGATGCACAGATACCAGTTTTGCGAGTACGAGTACTGGTACTTGCTGAGTACTTACAAGTACGAGTACTGATACATTTTTGTTTATTGTCATGTGACAGTTTTTCTACAACAATACAGACTAATGATTTCAGGACAGTGGTGGAGCACCAGAGCCAGGAGCACAAGAGCCAGGTCCCAGCTGCAACCGCTGCAACCCTGGTAGTTCTCATGAAAATGCCAAGTATCTGCACTGGTACTCGAAAAGTATCTGTGCATCCCTAATGATCATAATCATCCTATGTTGTAATTGACACTAATTTATAACACATTGTGTACGCATTCTTGTATATGGCAGGTTTTTATTTGTACATTATGTATGTATGCATTCTTAGTGAAGGGTATGCATTACTGAATGGGGAAGGGTTGGGGTGGGTAAGATACTTTTGTTTGCAAAGTGTCTGTTAATAATAAAACTTTAATTTAAAAAAATTGATTAAAAAAATAATTCCACTGCTTTATGATAACCATTCTTATTTATGGAATATTTTTCCTTTGCTATTGGAAATTAAATATATATATGTGTGTGTGTGTGTGTGTGTGTGTGTGTAAAATATACTTTTAGATTATTCAGTATTCATCTATATATAAGATTTTTCATACAAATGTCAAATAGTAAAGAAACAATATTTCTTTGTTTTCTGCTGTCTATAATTATTCTCTTTGAGTTGCTAATTGTTACTTTTAGAGATCCTTCCTGCCCCTTGTAGTTATACCTCATCTCACTGAGTTCACAGAACTTTCTAGACTGCCGTTTGAACAATAGACCAACTGTCCTGCAGTGGCAATAAAGATGTAAGTGTATGATAGAGCGGACTGTCCAATTGTTGATAGATGATTTAAAAAAATCAAGATTACCTAGGTCAGAGATCTTACTAGATTCCTAATTAACCCGGTGCATCCCTGGGGATTGTTGGGGTTGCCTTGCCTGTAGTATATAATGGCCAAAAGTGGGCTTGTCCCCTATATCATTCCTTCTATCTCCCTTGTTTCTGCTTTCTCTCCTTTAGTCTGTTTTCCCTAACAGGGATCTGAATTCAAAGAACCTGAATTGGCAAAAAGCTTTCCAACATTACTGCATCCACCAAAAATCCTGTTTGGATCAGATCTGGGTCTAATATATTCTATTAAAAAAATATTGAATTGATCTTAAAACTGAAGTGTAGTGTACACACATAATACCTTGACTTGTTCCTCTTCATGATCAACATGCTATTAAAATGTTTCAATTAAATCATTTTATTTCTCAAGAAATACCTATTTTGGGACCCAGTGAGATCATCACTGAGTCTGTCTGCTGCTGTTTGCTACGAGTTCATTGAAAAAAGGGCTGGCGGACCCCTGTAAATATCAAAGCATTCTGTCTCTGATCTTTTTTAAAATATTTATATGAAAGAAGACATCCCGGGATCCCTTTAAATGTGTCTGCTTTTTCCTGCTGATTACAACGTGCTGCGGACTTTAGCTGTGCACTCTGCTGTTTGGTTGGCTGGTTGCAGGCATGTCTAAAAGGATGCTGGGGATGTGTGCTTTCACATAACACTCCAGAACAAAATGAATGGTGGCATAGAAAACCAATAGCTGTGAGAGAGGACAAACAACAGTACAGATCAGGGAGAAAAGTGATTGATAAGCGATGGAGGTCGTTCAGACAGAAAATGAAGGTGGGCTCAAGACAGCTGCTGCAGCTTCAAAGGGCTATATTGAGAAAATGCAAATCTACTGGGAATTGAGAGTTTTCCATTTCAACACAGGAGAGGACTTGCTACAAATGTGGGAAGAAAATGTAAGTCAGGAGTTCAGTTTTAAAGTGTGCGCAAAGCCCAAACTCATGTTTTGTTTTGGATGGAGTGGGAACGTTGTCTAAATCCCTGTAAAGTTTTTAATGCTGTCTGTATCCGATTTTGGGAGATTCTCCCTTTACATTTATCCTGGTGACCTTTGTCACTGCTACAGTGTTGGGGAATCCCAAACTTTAGCGTTTTGACATCACAACACATATGTTTTTTTTAAACTGACAACGGTTCTAACCTTATTCTACCAAAAACTAATAAAATGTCCTGTCTGTAATTTCATTAATACGATGAAATAATTAAAAAAAATTAAAAATCATCATTGCATAGAAAAAATAAGAGTGTATGAGCTGAAGTTCAGCCAAGACTGAAATGTTTGTCTAAAGACTATTGCTGGGATGTCAGGAACAATTACTGTAAAGGAGAACTGTGGCAGTCTGAAGAAGATCTGGGGCACATCCCGTGGGGGTCAAGGTCAAGCCGCACTCCTCCTCTGATTATAGTCAAATTTGAAAAATTGTGTAAAGACTCTGGACTTTCTCTAAGGGTTCTGCTCTCCAAAAACTGTTACTGCCATGTTGCACAAATGACAACAGGCGCAAATCACACTGTTGTTAAAGTGGTAGTAAACTGCCAACATGAACATGGGAATGGTGGGTCTCCAGCATGTGTTTCCCATAATGTTCTAGTATTCACAGAATATTAGCAAATTATGGGCGACTTTCCTTGCAGGTGATCCCCTTCAGTGCTGTAATGTCAGCACTTTTCCACAGCTGCTTCCATCTTCACACGATCTTCTTCCGGGTTTAGTGTATTTTCTGTCATAAAAACCCTACCTGTCAGCATTTTTTTAAATGTTACCTTTACTTCCACTTTAAATCATTGATGACCCTGCTGGCAAGCTTTCTGTCTCATTTAACTGGCCCATCGTACTTACCCCTAGCCATCCCTGGAAATATTTCATTTATTCTACATAGTACGCAGCAACATCAGCAAAGTACCATAGAAAACAACTATGATCTCCTGCAGAGAGCCTATAGTTCCAGCCATACCTGAAGTTGGTTTTGGGTAGACTAACCAATATGATGCATGGTCACTGTTGTCTGCCTGTTCACACGGCAATGCCGCCACAGTTTCCTGTCCATCTCTGCCTATATTCAAAGGCTTCCTGTATGATCTTCAGGAGAACTGTGAGTTTTGCCAAGAAAGACCATATGAATATCCACCTATTGCTACACAAGGTTGATAAGATTGAGTAATGTGTTTTCTTTTCTCTGACCTCAAATTTGTTCATTGCAAGAGCTAACCAGCTCATTAAATAATTATATATTGTTCCCTTCTAATAAAG